GATTTTGAGGGGGGTCTTCGTTTTCTACACACAGGGGGGATTGTGTAGAAAACGAAGACCCTAGTCGAAATTTTGTATAATTGAAGATATTGTTGTTTCTTACACATCTAAGGTCGAGATACCCGTTTCTACATATTTATAACTGATTTTGAGGGGGGTCTTCGTTTTTGGGTCTTAGGTCTTAGGTCTTCCTTTTCTACCCACCCCACCCCTTCATTCAGCGATGAGGGAACCTTCTTTGTCAGAGCGCGTGGGAAACCATGGAAACAGTTTATTGACCTCCACGAAAACTCAGGTTTCAACAGACAGAAAAAAACCCTTCAAAGGCGCGTGTTAGTGGTAACCGCTGTAAGTAAGTAGGAGCTTGATATAAGCACTTAAATGTCAAAAGTAGAATCTTTTTATTGCCTCTACCATTTTAATTTTTGCAAGCCAGCTGCGTCTGTATTATTCTCTTCTGATGCATATATTCCAGTTCACGTAAGATAGCGTTGCCATCTGTTGTTTTTCTTATTTTTTAAGAAGAGCCTCGGCTTCTGCCGCTTTTAGGTCAAACATTTTCTTGGCATTCACCCACACGGGATAAGAATCAACCTGTGTAAAGCAAAGCAACAAAATCATTCCTAAGAACTAATACAAAATGACTGGCTCATATCACGGACTTTACAACTCTCCGACGCAATGATCCTCCTTAAACTAGGAGTTCGAAGAACTCATAGGCTTTAACTGGACCGCCAGAGGCCTTATACCTCTGTATATATTTCGGCTGTAATGCGCCCCTGGGAGAATGGCGGGGGAGTTTCATGACGGGGGATAGCCTGTGTACAGACCCCCCTCCCCTTCCTGAGGGGAGGTGGGGTCTGTACACAGGCTAGTGGGTGGAGTGCTCTTCGGCGCGTGCTCTTCTTACGCGCGTAACTAGCGCCAAGGCCCCTTGGGCGGCTCCCGGGACTAAAGACCTGTTCTTTTAGCCTGCATGACAGGCGCTTAATGAGCCAAGCGGGGCGAACGCGATATTTCGCGCGGCTCGTGTCGCGCTCCGCGCGAAATATCGCGTTCGCCCCGCTTGGCTCAGGTTATGCAGGTTATGTTCTTCTCACTGCTGTACTGCTGAAACAAAAAGGACTTCGGCACGCTTAGCTAAATCCCGCCCGCTACGCAGAGTGACCCCACACAATACACGTACCCGAAAAGTTTCTCAGGCTCAGCGGTTTTAAAGGCTCTTTCAATGCCAGCGATAACCTTTCCGAGTTATGACATCCTGGTGTGGACTTATTCTTTGATGTCTATATCCTGTCCGCGCCGTAACTGCCGGCGTTCAGGTACATTTCAAGCAGACCAATTGATCAGTCACCTTTTACCTAAGTCCCTTGCAGCAATTTGAACGTCATCCAGCCTATAGGCTCATTCAAGAGAACAGAAAAGCCCCAAAACATAAAAGTTCTCTTAGCTTATTTGAATGTTTTACTTTCCACTCATCATCACAGCCCGGGAATAAGGAGAAAAACTACTTTTGGTGCATTTTAAGATAGTCAAAGCACACCTCAGTTAATTTGAGCAAATGTGGAGTAGAGTCATCTGCAAATCTTGTGCTACTTTCTCTCGGCAATAAGGAGGGAAAATGATCAATGGCAACAACATCTAAGGGCTTTGATGACTTGCTAAAAATACAAAGCAAGACAACATAATAATTAGTTTTTTGCGATTTTTTTCTTC